GCGTTTAGTGACGAAAGCGTACGGGTAATCGTACTCGGCGACCGGAACGTGAGACGGTAGTCTTGTTCGTGCTTCGTGAGCCTGCGATCTCATCCGAGGTCAAGGGCGGCGTGGTCTGCTGATCTGAACGTGAGACGGAAGTCTCGTCCGTAGATGGTGCAGATGACGCGTGCTGTTGACCGGGACGTGAGAACGAGGTCTCTGATGTATCTAGCGTGGGATCCGAGGTAGACGTAGAGATCCCGCTAGAAGGTTTGATAGGTCTAGCATTGAGTCTCAAGTTATCGGGTAGGGCACTGTCATCGACGTGTGCTGGTTTGAGACGATCAATGCTGACGATCTCGACGCGGCCGTGTCGATCAACCTTGAAGGTCTTTTCGTGACGAGAGATCACGTGAAAAGGGCCTTCGTAAGGCTGTTGCAAAGGTTTGCGTACCGAATCTACTCGTATGAAAACATGTGAACAGGTAGATAACTCTCGGTGGAGAGCGACCTGTCGATGTTGTATTCGAGTTGACACCGGAGACAGCGTTCGCATAAATGCAGACAGTCGATGGACGTAGTCTGATTTACCGAAATCATTACTGCTCCGTGGTGTGAAGAATTCCCCAGGCAGACGCAATGTCATGCCGTATACAAGTTCAGCGGCGGAACATTGGATATCTGCCTTCAAACTCTTTCTGATGCCTAAGAGAACGAGCGGAAAGGTTTCGTACCAATTGTCGTTTTCGTGTGCTCGAAGAGCACTTTTAAGTTGGCGATGAAAACTTTCGACTAAACCTTTCGATGCTGGATGGTAGGCGGTAGTGCGTATGCGTTCCGTACCAAGCAGCCGAGTCAGTGAGGAGAATAATGCGGACTCGAATTGCTGTCCTCGGTCAGTCGTGACAGTCGAGGGACAACCGTACAATGCTATCCATCGTTCTACGAAGCGGTAAGCAACTGTCTCCGCCGTAATAGACGTGCTGGGAATAGCTTCGGGCCATCTTGTAAAACGGTCAATGCACGTGAGTATGTGATCATACCCATGCGATGGTGGCAATGGTCCTACAATGTCTATATGAACGTGATCGAAGCGAGCATCAGGCGTAACGAACGTGCCAATGGGGGCAGCTACGTGCCTGTGCACTTTTGATCGTTGACACTGTAAGAATTGCTTTACCCACATACGAACATCTTTATTCATGGACGGCCAGACGTATCGTGCAGCAATGAGACGTAATGCGGCTGCGATACCTGGATGAGACAATCCATGAAGGGCATCGAAGACGAGACGGCGATAGTTAGAGGGTGCGATGGGTCGAGGAAGACCGGTAGAAATATCACATAGGATAGTACCTGACCTAGCAGCTAGGGGTACTTCCTGACACTGAAGGGATGAAGATTGTGGTGCTTCTGTACAGACAGGATCGTTTGCTTTTGCGGCGGCCATAGCAGGAAGATCGAGCACCGGTAAGGTAACTTCATTCATCTGGATACGTGAAAGAGCATCGGCAACATAGTTCGACTCGCCTTTAATGTGACGAAGGTCTGTCGTGAACTGGGAGATATAGTCCAAATGTCCGCACTCTCGTTGTGAGTAGCGGTCAGACTTGGTATGCAGGGCATACGTTAAGGGCTTATGGTCGGTGAATAAAATGAATTGGCGTCCTTCTACTGCGTGCCGGAAATGTTTGATGGCGCAGTAGGCTGCAAGCAGCTCGCGACCAAAGGCGCCATATCTCGTCTCCGTGGGAGTAAGGCGTCGTGGGTAAAATTCTAGCGGTTACCAACTACCGGAGATATTCTGTTGCATAACGGCTCCTATAGCGAAATCTGATGCATCAACCGCTATACTAAGCGTGGCTGATGGGTCAGAATGAGCGAGAAGTGTAACTTCAGCGAGAGCCGTTTTGATCTCTGAGAATGCAGTACGTGCGGTATCGTTCAATTCGAATTTGCGTGGATTACCGCGTAGTAAATCGGTTAATGGTCGTAACCGTTCTGCCGCGTGAGGGATAAAACGTCGGTAGAAGTTAACCAAACCGAGAAAAGCCTTCAGTTCCTTGATTGAGGACGGCACGTTGTACTCCTTGATTGCTCGAACTTTGTCCTCGCAAGGCAGAATACCCTCTCGTCTGACGGTGTGACCCAGAAATATTATTTCTGATTTACCCAATTCACATTTCTCTGGGTTGACTACTATTCCATTATCCGAAAGACGTTGGAATAATAGCGTAAGGTGTTGATAATGTTCATCTACGCTTGATGATGCGATCAGCAGGTTATCAATATAGACGTGAACAAAATCCAAGTCTCGTACTATGCTATCGATGAACCTTTGGAAAGTTTGAGCAGCATTCCGTAATCCAAATGGCATTCGTAGGAACTCAAACAGACCGAAAGGAGTTGTGATAGCAGTTTTTTCGATGTCTTCAAGAGCGACTGGGATCTGGTGATATGCTCGTACCAGATCGATTTTAGAAAAGATAGTCGTGCCCTTGAGCGATGCCGTGATGTCGTGTATGTGGGGGATGGGGTAGCTATCAAAGCGCGTAACTACGTTTAAAGCTCGCCGCATGGTCTCCAACTAACCCCATCCTTTTTGCGCACCATGTCTAAAGGAGAGGCCCAAGGACTGTGAGAAAGACGAATAATACCAGCAGATAGTAGATTGTCAAACTCACGTTTAGCGAAGGCTAATTTGTCCGGTGCCAGTCGGCGTGGTCTTGCCGTGACTGGTGGTCCGCGGGTGACTATGTGGTGTACCACACGACTGGTCACCGATGAAATCTCCTCGAGTGGTTTAGTTATTCTGGGGAATTTCTCGAATAAGGCGTGGAATTTATCGTCACGCGATTAAAAAATGCCGAGGATTCGGTACGCGTTTGTGTGAGCTTTAAAGGCCATGAATTTGCTGTTCGACGAAGTATCGATTAGCTGCAGCCTACGTGAATCGACCAGCAATTCATAGTGCTGTAGGAAATCAATACCTAGTATGGCTGTGGAAACATCAGCAATGATGAACGTCCACAGATACCGTCGTCGGTTGCCCAGGTTGACCGCGAGTTGTCGTGTGCCGTAGGTAGGAATGGCTGAGCCATTTGCAGCGCGTAGTCGAAGCATTGTAGCTTGTGACTTGATGCTACCTCGTGGTACGACAGAAACTTGGGCACCTGTATCCACTAGGTACCTAGCGTTTGTGCGATAATCGTGCACGTAAAATAAAGGGCCAACCTAGGGGGCATGGCCGGCGAGTACGACCGCGTTTACTCGCCGGTTTGGAGTTTCCCGACTTGTATGAGTACGGGGCTCGATAACGGCGGACACCAGATCCGAAGGATCGATGAAACCAGCACCAACCTTCACTCGTTTCCGAAGCCGCCTTTTGGCGTGGCTTGGAAGATGCCCTCGTTAGGCGAGTGTTGAGGGCTTTTCGAGAGCGTGAGCGGGCTCGAGGGACGTAGGGTTGGGGTACGTTACAACGGTCTCGAAAACTAAGACGTGTGTGAATACACCCTCCCCTGTCACCTTGAGCCGAATAGTGGCTGCCGTCGACATTGACTTTCGGAAGCGACGTTGAGGCAACTACGTAGTTGTCTCGGTTGCCAGTCCCAGCTAGAATTTTGTCTGCTGTGAGGGCTACCTGTTTCAGTGGTGCATCCTCGAGAAGAGCCGTAACTATAGGTTGGATAAATTCTGGTAGAGATTCGAGCCACAGTTCTTTAACGATTTCAGAATCGGCTGTCGTGGGTCCTGCAAGAGATTGCAGGCGCGTGAGGTGGTGGCTCGGTTTAGCATCACCCAGGGGGTGACGTGCCAATAACGTCCTCGATCGTTCCTCCCTCGATGGGAGGAAATGTCTGAGGATCGCCTTCTTGAGACGATCGTAAACATTGGGCACATTGGAATTGAGGACAACCTCACGGACAGCTACTAAATGGTCTCCCGGTAAACATTCGAGAGCGTAAGTGTACTTCTGCCGTTGGCTTGTGATATGACGGGTCTCAAATTGAGACTCTATAGCAGCAAACCAAACTTCGGGATCGTGAGGAATAAAAGATACAGGTCGAAAGTGTATAAACTGTACGTCAGAGTCTATTACGTTAATACTATTCTTATCGTTATCCGTCATGTCAAATATATTATATGTTAAAAATTAATATGAAAATATATGACAGACGTGAATAGATAAGCGATAGACTCACCAAAATTGACTTCTTTGGAAGGTTTGGTTGCGATTGCCAAGTGGTCGAAGATGCAGGTTCACCAGTTGCAGAAGATTTGACCGAAGTTGAGGCGTGTTCCAAAATTTGGCTCACCAAATGTAGCGTGGTGTCGAGTTGAGCTTGACTATGAACACCGCTACCAGACTACGTGCCAATAGATCAATAAGATTCCGGTAGGCCAAAAGTCAGAAGGCAGATGATGGCTGTAGTCGAGATGTATTTGTTGGCGATCTCGTGGTATCGAAAGAATACCGAGATCGTGCCAAAGGAGTACAGGTGAGATCGGCAAGAAAAGATACGTGCGTAGTCGAAAACAGCGTAGAAGCAATGGAATACAATGGAAGACTAAAATGGCTGTTATTAGCACAGTTAAACAAACGAGCACAGTAAAACAGTCACTGGTACAATTGGTTATAATAATAATTGTTTTCATCGAACCAATCGCGTTCTGTTGACAAAAGTAGGTCACTACACTAGTACTCACTGGATTTGAAATTGTAACGTAACGCCGAGACGCAATCATAAAGAAGTCATTTGGCTTATTTTGGCAGATCACAAAGATATTGGACAATAGATTTAAAGATAATGGAATCAACAGTCTGAAATTGCAGGAGGCGCGTCTTCATATTAGACGTTACACATTTTTCGGCGTTGTAAGCCTCCTGGGTTGTCCATACTTTTGCAGACCATGTGCCTAATAAGTCATCAGTTTAATCGTCCGATGGTATTTTTTACAGATCCTTCGACGACTGTATGCTGTAAGTTGCATATGCTCACTATCGTGAAAAGCATATGGTTCATTCGATCAGTTATGAATTTGAAGATCAAACCGATAGACCAATATGCCAGCGCTGTTCAAAGTCATTTAAGTCTCATCTTACACTGAAGCATCATACTGAAGGTATATGGTGATAATTAATGATTAAAAATTCCATAGTCTTGTTTTTACATATCTCAGCCTTGAACATTTCTAATAAGTCTCCTTAAGTTTCATCTTGAGACGACTTACTAAATGCATTCAAGACCATTAGGTATAAGCATAACCTCAAGCATTTCAGTCCTTTCAAGACCAACGTAGCAGCTGTCACCCTTTGGTGATGAAATTCCAGAGACAATCTCTGTGGCGAGACCATAATTTATGAGCGATATTTTAGCGACGCTGCGGTGACCTTGCGAATATCCACCTTTTATTTTAACACATAAGTATAGGTACAGGGAAGCACCAAGTACATATGCGCCACACGAATCTCAATTGATTTGTGTGAGGGCTGTGATACTGCTCGGGTGCCCAAACCGAAGCAGGTGGTTTTCTTAGGGGGCCACACCCCGAGCCTTCGACCTGAACGTCTGACCCACAAGGCAGTGGAGCATCGTGAGGAGATGCAGTCCCATGGTAGCCGGTGACCAACGATTGGTTCATACGCCATTTGTTCTCGCAGGATACTGGAGCCCATGTGCACCATTGGTTGGGGGTCCGGTTAAGGCGCCGGACATTCTTTTTTCGTCCTCTCATTTTTGTAAACAACACCCCCGCCACGAGAAGGCAGTGAGTAGGACTTCCCTGGCAGAGGCTATATACGCATGGCCATGTGAGAGCATTTCGAGAGGGAGAGTGGACTATCCCCACTCTCGACCGTACCAGGGCATTCGGGGGCGAATATTCACCTATATAATAGAATTAAATAAAAACTAGAAATTAATGTGAGGAAACAGTATTATAACTATCAGATGAACGCTAGGGTCATCAATTAAACTATGGTATTGTACTCACCTCAGTCACTCATCTGCACATGTGTGCATCGGTCCAAGTTGCCACACATCGTTAGCACAACAAGATGAACTCCATATACATAGAAGCAGTTACTTCAATGGTAGTAATATATAAGAAGGACTGAATATAAGGATATAATACACGGAAAAGGAATTAGTTCGTAGAAAAAACGATAAAGCGGTTTTAATCTCACAGTTAAAGGGAAGACAAGGAGTGTATACACCTACGCCATTATGATCGATTCTGAGCCATGTCACTCATAGTCTCCAACCATTGGCTACGATAGTCACGCTGACCCCAACCAAGTAGTCTGCGTTTACAAACATGTCTCAGACTAGAAGTTAGTGACTTCAAGGAGTGATGCGACGTTTTGGTTCAGTCGCCGCCAACTTCCTTCCAACCGTCTCCAACACTAGTCAGCGTTAAGCGCCGTGGTAATTAGTGTTCAGGCATACGCAACACGTGACCCAACTATCTCAGTCAATGAAGATTCATAACCTCACCAACTGATTCGCCATCATTCCCTAATACGCTGCGTCTAACCTCACTATTATTTACCCGGTGATCTCAGCAAATGCGAGTAAAACAAAACGAACTGCGGCACAGCATACTCGTCTCTTAATTGATAAACGGATATCTCGCCTTCGCCATAGGTGACGTAAGTTGGCAAAAGCCAAACGAGATTTCTGAATCCGTGCAGAGATTTCGTCAGACACCTATTCATTAGGGCTGATCAGACTTCCAAATTAAGTGAAGTTGTCGAAAGCGTTCGACAACTTCACTCCCTATCTTTTGTTCAGGCGTTGATGCAGGTCAGTTCTGAAGCAGCGACTTGCGCTGTTTTTACGAGTTCTTTCGCAATGTAATGTGAATTTTTCGGTAAACATGCTTTTTGTTTTGGTTACGTTTTTCCCTTCACGTTTATAAAACTCAAAAAGTTTTAGTTTTGTCATTTTCACTTAGTTTTCGTAATTACACGGGTTAAAGCTGTCTGCAACATAAAATTTTGGGAACTGTGTAGATGTCTAAATTTTACTGTCATTCTACCCATCATAATGGGTATGTTGTTCTGCGATTATAGTGTACTCATTATTTTACTATAATTTTTCCATTTAGTCTGTTCTAATCGCAATTCGGAGCCAAGATTCTGCTGTGAGGTATGTCGAAAGAAATTTAGGACTGATATTCAGTACACCCGTCACATCTATTACACTCATTCACAACGTACATTTCTGTGTAAAGAAAAAAGTGAGTTGGCGTCAATACGTTTTAGTGTGTTTCTTATTGCTTGTCTCGCAAAGTTTTATTTATTTATTTATTTGAACATATAAATACTGGTACAAGGGGGCACCAAATATATATGCGCCACACATATCATTATATTTGTGTGTAGGCTGAGATACTGCCCCGGGTGTCCAGACCGAAGCAGGTGGTTTTCTTAGTGGGCCAACACCCCGAGCCTTCGACCTAAAGGTCTAACCCACAAGGCAGTGGAGCATCGTGAGGAGATGCAGTCCCATGGAAGACGGTGACCAAGAAATTGGTTCATACGCCATTTGTTCCCGCAGGATACTGGAGCCCATGTGTACCATTGATTTGGGATCCGGTTATAGCGCCGGACGTTCGCTTTTCGTCCTCTCATTTTCGTAAACAACACCCCCGCCACGAGAAGGCAGTGAGTGGCCATGTGAGAGCATTTCGAGAGGGAGGGTGAACCCACCCCACTCTCGGTCATACCAGGGCATTTGGGGGCTGTCTCACAAAGGCTATATAACAACCTCTAATTCGCAAGTAAATAATTGGTTGATTGAACAGTTAATGAAGTGAACTATACTGTTTTCAAAGTGTATATTGTTTTGAATGTTCATAGTGGTATTCATCCGTAGTTGTATGGGTCTATGAAGTAGTTGGATAACTTGCAACTCAAATATCGTGAAGTAAGACATATCCGATCATTATATGCATATGATTTGTCCTCCCTGACCGTTGTTGCTACCTTGACGTGGTGATCGGGCTTGCCTATCGTGATGAAGCAACTGAGCTATACTGGCTGGAACAACCGTTCCTCAAGGTCCTACAATGCCAGACAGGTCGGTTGAAGAGCGGTAAGACTAAAAGCAACAAACCCAAGGTCCGAAGGCGAAGTCGTACTGCTGACTGTACAGAGGTGTGACAGCAGTAAGGTGTTTCTTTCAGACAACCAGCATAACAGCGATGCTGCCTTCCCAAAAGGAGGGGTGGTGTTAGAAAAGGTCTACCCTAAAAATGCACCCCTCGCCTTATCCCACGGATATCCGTCTCCGGCGGTAAGGTCTCAACAAGTACGGAGCTAACACGGAAATTACTCATAATAAGGTCGTGTGTGACCGACCTCAAGCAGCTGTCCCTTGGGCACTGCGGTCACGCTCTCAGGTCACTATGACCACCTCTAATCCAATTTCCTTTTCAGGTACCTCCAGAAGAACCCTTCCACGGTGTGGGCAACCGGGAAGTGATAACCGCCCTCATACCTCTAACAGCACTCAAGACCACTGTATTCATAATCAACCTACCTCTTCAATTCCTATTATTCCTCTTACATCGACTTTCAACTCTAAACTCCCTCTTTCGGTTTCCTCCTCAAGTGTCACCACAGCCAGCGATTCTAGTGCGCAAAACACTGTCCCAGGTCTACTGAAACCTTGCTCCAAACTACACATTGGAGCCTTCAACGTACGCACACTATGCCAAATCGGTCAGCAGGCTTCCTTGGCTAAAACCTTAGAATATCGTACAATTGATGTATGCTGTGTCTCCGAAACACGCATACAGGATCCTAGTGTGGTCATTCACCTGACCTCACCTCGGCAAAACGGAGTGCCGACGAGACACACCCGTGTATCTGGCGACCCGATGGCTAGTTCTCGTGGACTGGCAGGTGTAGGCATAGCACTTAGCATGAGGGCGGAACAAGCGCTATTAGAGTGGATCCCCGTTAACAGTCGTCTATGCGCTGTTCAGCCAAACGGCTCCGTAAGAACTCGGAAGGATAGGGACACACGTCGTTGCCTTTTCGTCGTTTCCGCCTACGCTCCCACAGACTGCAGCTCGGATGAAGTGAAAGATGAATTTTACAGAAAACTCTCTGAACTACTTCAGAAAGCTAAACGTTCAGACATAGTACTCGTAGCAGGCGACTTTAATGCCCAGGTAGGTAGCTTTAACGAAACAGAAAGATATTTAGGTGGGTATTTTAGTATTCCGGCACAGAGAACAGATAATGGTGATCGTCTGCTGCAACTTTGCTCAGACAATCGTTTATTTTTAGCAAACACAAATTTTAAGCATAGGGAGAGACATCGTGTAACATGGCGACTCCTTGCACCAAACCAACGATGGACTCAAATAGACCATATTGCCATCAGTCATCGTTGGAGAGGGTCAATAGAAGATTGTCGCTCATTCTGGAGTACCTGCTTGGACTCCGACCATCTCCTAATACGAGCACGCATCTGCTTGCGCCTCACTGGACGCAAAAAAGCCACACAAAAAAGACTCATTAGAACCGAATTGAGTAATGAGAAAGCCAAAAGTAGGTTCCAGGAACAACTGAGGTCACACTTAGGTAGTTCTGAAAACGAGACTGACCCCGATGTTGATTGGAAAGTTATACAAGCAGCTGTGGAAACAGCAGTGACATCTACCAGTGATTTAAACCAAATGGTTACAAAAAACCAATGGATTTCGTCAAGGTCTATTGCACTGATAGATTCTCGCAAACTCATCCCATCAGGTTTTGAATACGATGAAGAGCGGAAACAAATCAGATCTAGATTAAGCAAAAGTCTAAGGAATGATCGTGAGCAGTGGTGGGCAACGAAAGCAAAAGAGATGGAAAAGGCGGTGGCTATAGGGAACACAAGACAACTCTACAGACTAATAAAAGAAACTGGAATTAATAAATCAAGTGTAAGTCAGACTATTTCGGAAAAAAACGACACTCTCATCTGCTCCCAGTCCAGACGCTTAGAACGATGGGCGGAACACTTTAAGGAGCAGTTTAGCTGGCCTTCAGCTACTCTACAACTACCCTCTATTCCGAGACAGTGTGAATGGAACATTGAAGTAGGTCCCCCAACTCTAGCTGAAGTTCAAAAGGCTATAGCTAATCTGAAACGAGGAAGGGCAGCTGGTCCAGATGGATTGGCCCCAGAGGTCTTTAAGGATGGTGGTCTAGTCTTAGCGATTAGGTTGACTAATATTTTAGCTAAAATCTGGGAGTTAGACGTTATTCCATCTAACTGGTCACAATCACTTATCGTCCCAATATATAAGAAAGGGTCAAAATCATCCTGTGACAACCATAGAGGGATTAGTTTAACTAATATAATATCTAAAATACTAGCTTCGATAATTTTCGGACGCCTAACTAAGACTCGTGAGTTGCAAACACGTGAAAATCAGGCTTGCTTCAGACCTGGTCGTGGCTGCATCGACCACATATTCACCATTCGTCAGGTTCTAGAACACAGGCATACTTATCGGCGTCCGACAATGGTGGTCTTCCTTGACTTAAAAGCAGCGTTTGACTCTGTTGACCGAGAGGTTCTGTGGCTGTGTCTGTCATTGAAAGGCGTACCTCAGAAGTACATAAACCTTGTGAAGGCTCTTTACTCGAACACTACTAGTCGAGTCAGAGCTTATGGCGAACTGTCATCTGCTTTCGCAACCTCAAGTGGCGTCCGCCAAGGCTGTCCACTTTCTCCATTTTTGTTTAACTTCATCATAGATCTACTGATGGAAATAACGCTCTCATCGACTGAATTCTCGGGCGTCGATCTCCTACCAGGAGGTCCACTTATTGACTTAGAATACGCAGATGACATAGTCCTGTTTGGTGAAGACGCTGATGAAGTGCAGTCTTTTGGTAGCACTGAGCAACAATGCGAGAATGTTTGGGATGCGCTTCTCTCCCTCCAAATGCAAGTTGTTGTTTCAGGACTGGTCTGCGTCAACACCTGAACTAAGGATAAGGGGTGAAGTAGTCGAACGCGTTGACAACTTCACTTATCTTGGAAGTCTGATCAGCCCTAATGGGTTGGTGTCTGACGAAATCTCAGCACGGATTCGAAAAGCTAGCTTGGCCTTTACCAACTTACGTCATCTATGGCCAAGGCAAGATATCCGTCTATCAATTAAGTGGCGAGTATACTGCGCGGCAGTTCGTTCAGTTCTACTATACGGCTGCGAAACATGGCCTTTAAGAGTTGAAGATACTCGTAAGTTACTAGTATTTGACCACAGGTGCCTTAGAAATATTGCGGGTATCTGCTGGGATCACCGGGTAAGTAATAGTGAGGTTAGACGCAGGGTATTAGGGAATGATGGTAAATCAGTTGATGAGGTTATGAATCTTCATCGACTGAGATGGTTGGGCCACTTGCTGCGTATGTCTGAACACCGATTATCACGACGCTCAATGCTAACTGGTGTTGGTGATGGTTGGAAGAAAGTTAAGGGCTTCCAAACCAAAACGTGGGATCAGCGCTTGAAGTCACTAACTTCTGGTCTGAGCCATGTTGGTAGATGCAGACTGCCTGGTTGGGGTCCGCATGACTATCGTAACCAATGGTTGGAGACTCTTGGTGGAGTAACGTCGTCTGGAAAATGTGTGACAGTACGAATGTAATGTTAGGGATTCATACTACGACAAACCTTCTACTGCTTCATGCAAAAAGTTGATAAGTACTGACATTGTCTTTAAAAGTGGAACCTACCAGGTGTTAGCAAACAAAGAAATTTCGTCTTAAATAAGCTGTAATGTTTGTGGAACTTTGAAATTACTCCCTGTTAGTATTTCTCATGTAGTTTAAATAGTGCCTAGATATCCATCTAGAATGTTATTAAGGAATTAATATGTTATTGAGGTTACAGGTTTTACTTGTATGTTTTGCAAATTTAAGTCGTTCACTACTACTCTAGTTTTGTGGGTGTGTAGATTAAAACGATGTGTTCAAAAGCCTCATCTTACCGACCGTTTTGGTACTTTATTATCACCAGCCATCATAGTGTTGCTGAAAACCGAGTACGTAAACTTGTACACTGTAAATGAATTAAATTATTTATTGTTAAAAGTGTAGATTTACACTCATATTGTTTTGCGTATCATAAAGTTTTAAACTTAATACATATTTATCTTCATTTCTTTTTAACTCCAGGTTGTGGTAGAGCATTCTTATCAAACTCGCATCTTATAGCTCACATGACAACACATACGTCTGATAGACCATATTCCTGTCCAGTACAAGGATGTTCGTATCAAGCTCGTACAGCCGGTCGACTTGCACAACACAAAATTATTCACGGTCAAGGTGTGAATATCGTATTTCACATGTCCCTTATCAGTATCTTGTGTTTATTATTATTATTATCAATTTTTCATGTTCGTTATAAGAGACGTTGCATTACATGATAGGTTCAATTGGGACTTTATTTACAAAGCTAACTATCTAATTTTTATTGTATTTTTACAGGTCGTCGTTTTTCTTGTGATTATTGTGAATACAGCGCCACCACATCTTCTAATCTTCGTCGTCATGCTCGTATACACGCTGGGGCTAGGCCATATTTATGCCCTCATTGTCCTCATCGTACTAGCGAACTAGATGCTTTAAAAAAGCATGTTTTAGACTCTGGTAGGCATCCTGGTCTACCACTTTATGTGTGTCCGTGGTGTCGATCGGAGTCCAGCACAGTCTGCGTTGGTTTTAATGCTTCAAGTCTCGCATGGCGACATCTGCTCAGTGAGCATTCAAGTGAGATTATGAAACCAGAAACACTGAGCCGAATCGGTCGAGTATCTGAAAAATCACTTTCGGAGGTAAGAGCATGTAAATCTATTTTTGCGGCAGAATATTGATTGGTCATAGGAATGTCTATTCTTCATCAAAATTATCATAGCAACCAACCTTACTTGTATCGACATATATTTAAAGCCTCAGACAATACGAGCAATTGTTTATGGTCTTCACACCATTATGTTTTAAAATAAGAAGTGTACATGTATCATTAGTCACTAGTAACTGGACAGTGTAGCCTTCATGGGTTATAGTATTTAAATTAGAAATCCTTTGAATACTGTTGTGGTGAATGAATACTAAGGTACGGTAAATCATTTTATTGTTTTACGCGAGATCAAACAGTAGCTTTGTAAAATAAAAATATTATACATTAACTACATCATTTGCATATCTCCATTTGTCTTTTGCATACTTCATCATTTTACCGATTATGTTGCTTTTCGTTTTTCTTCCTCTTTTCATTTCACTCTTCTGCTGGTAAGCGTTCCACTTCCAATTCCTGCTACACACTATTTGTTTGTCCGCATAAGTAGTGTACATTGTAAAGGTTTATTCCTCTATATCTCATTGCAATAAATAGTATCCCGTTAACTGAGTATTTAAGCAGACTAAATGTCCTAGTAGAATTTTGCATTTACTCGAGATTATATAAAAAACCGAACACCAGTTGTCGAGACAGTTTATCGTTAATGATTAGTAAAGATCCGCAAGCGCGAAGAAAGTGAGCACACAGGGAAACCTATGAGTGAGTGTTAAAAGTCCATGTATATTTATGAGCGTTAATCGACTGTGAATAAATTATTGATTGTCTGTGTGTTACAACCAATGAGAGGATAGATTAGATATTGATGTGCAGATATGCGCTCAGTCGGACTCACACATAATTTTACATAATGGATTAAATATCTAAAATTACAACGAGTAGACTTACTACAACATCACACCGTCAGTAATGGTTTAAATTGTTTGTAGGGCGTTTTAAGTATTCAATCAATGGGAAATGATAAAGGATAAACTCATCTTCCCTTTTTTAACGATAATTACGCATTATTTCCCCAATTATTCTCTACGGACATAGTCTTTTCCCTCGTGCAGAGCAACAGTTATCGTAAAATTAACAGCTTTAACCAATGCTACGCACAACTACTTTTGAAGTAGTCTGTTATTTTTAACAATAAATCGTGATAATAATCCTTATTATCTTGTAATAGTGTAAACAATCGTTATTCTCGTTGAATATACTTAATAAATACCGTACAATAATACATCAATAGTTGACCTAGATAAATTCTTATGAAAAGCGTTATGGAATCAATAAACAAATTTGATTTACAGTGATCCAAACTGTACAAGGTCTACTAAGAAAGCAATAGTTGTTGATTGTAAATGCTCATTAGAGTAATTTTATCTAGTTACTAATTCATGTGAAAAAACTTTAAATTGGGGTTTAAGGTCAAAATTTGCTATTTGTTTCACCTGTGTTTACAACAGGAAATAATTGTATTTATGCACTCAGTCAGTCAGTAACAACGTGGAACTTCGTACGTACGTACATCAGTTCGAGTTGCCATACCACATTAGCACAGAGATTCAGTTATCCATTCAAATCCCATAGTGGTAGAGGTACTGAAAGTATAAGTAGTGACAGGAAACGTTAAGGTTTGATGATGTAATTTAAGGAGTATAGTCCAGTGGAATATATTTGGAAAAATAAAAGACATGAAGAATACAGAAGATTAGAATTTGAGAGAACACAGAGAGTGGATGCACCTGCGCCACTGCAAACGATTTTTAGCCATGTCATTCAAGGTCTCTAACCATCGGTTGCTATCATCTCGCGGTCCCCAACCAGGTAGTCTACACCTACCAACATGGCTCAGTCCACTTGTCAGTGACTTCATGGATTCGTGCCATGTTTTGGTCTGGCCGCCCCTAGCTTTCTTCCAACCTACTCCTACACCATAAAACATCGCACGTCGGGGCAGTCGGTGGTCGGGCATACGCAACACATGTCCCAGGCATCTCAACTGATGAAGTTTCACTACTTCCTAGTACCTAGTACCCGTTTCATAACAACTGCATTACTTACTCGGTGGTCCCAGGATATACGAGCGATGTTACGGAGACACCTATGGTCAAATACTAGTAACATACGAATATCCTCTACTCTTACTAGCTATGTTTCACTGCCATAAAGTAGGACGGAACGAACTGCTGCGCAGTAAACTCGTTCTTTGGTTGATAGACGGATATCTCGCCTACGCCACAAATGACGCAAGTTGGCAAAAGCTAGTCGAGCCTTCTGTATCCGTGCTGAGATTTCGTCACACACCAGACCACAAGGGCTGATGAGACTTCCAAGACTCCCTATCACTAGTTCGGGTGCCGATGCAACCCAATCCTGAAGCAACATTTTGCATTTCGAGGGAGAGAATTGCATGCCGAACATGCCTGCATTGTTGCTCAGAGTGGTCAGCAGACTCTGCATTTTGTCAGCGTCTTCACCAGTTCATTCCCTACGGGAAATAAAATCTCAATTTACTGATTATAATAACATGGTGACAAAAAGTAGATCAGAAAAATTGGGGACAAAACTAATTCAATCACTGGGACCACATAAACCTGAAAGAAAATTTCCTTTTGACCCTGAGCGGTACGTTCATAATTTCTCTAGTGTTACGTTAGACACAGTGCAAGTAGAAACTTTGTCGCTCGGCCCTAGATTTTGTGACTATGGAAATAAAATAAACCAACTCGATACAGATGTACAGTTTGAAAATCTATTTTCACAAACAACAGATTTGGTGCCTACTTCTCAAGATGAACTTACTAGGTTTAAGACGACGTTGGTGGACATCTGCCAACAATACAAAAATAGTAAATGTACTGTAAAAACTCCACTTACCAAACAGCACCTAGATGCTTTGCATATGCTTAGAAAAGACAACACTCTGATCATAAGCAAACCGGACAAAGGAGGTGGACTAGTTCTTATGAACAAAGCCGACTACATTAATAAAATGAACTCAATTTTGAATGATCCGACTAAATTTCAGAAACTCAACGACGTGAAGGACAAATATAAAGGCAGAAAAATTGCTGACTAACTCACTAAAGGAATTGAAAAATAAAGGTATACTTACTCCTGACACACACGACTCACTCAAACCCACTGGATCGAACACACCGCGGCTTTATGGCTTACCTAAAGTTCACAAAACTGATCTTCCTTTTCGCCCAGTTTTAGATATGTATAATTCTCCATATCACAAAACTGCAAAGTGGCTAGTTCGAATCCTAAATCTATTACATAAACTAGTCGTCAACAGAAGTGTGAAAGACGTCTTCGAATTCATTTCTAAAGTGGAACATATGAATTTAAATGGGAAACGTATGATGTCTTTAGATGTAGCTTCACTGTTTACCAATGTGCCGTTAATTGAGACCATTGATTTTGTGTGCCAACAACTACAGGAAAAACAATTCAATATTGGAATTCCTGAGGTTAGTCTTAAAGAATTACTTTTGAAATGCACAATGAATGTCCATTTTGTCTTTAATAACACATATTATGGACAAATTGATGGTATAGCGATGGGTTCACCTCTAGGTCCCATCCTTGCGGATTTTTTTCTGGCTAAACTAGAAAACGGACCTCTCAAAGAGGTTATCAATGAGCTTGATTTATACTATCATTACGTTGATGATACTTTCATCATTGCAGATCAGAACATTAGTAAAGAGCAACTGCTAGAACGATTTAATAACAAACATCATGCAATTAGATCTACATGTGAAGAGGAAATGGATAATAAACTACATTTCCTTGACGTTTTGTTATGTAGAAAAGAAAATGGTTCTATCAGCAGAGGTGTGTATAGAAAAAATCTTTCCAGCCAATACACACATTTTTTAAGCTTTGTGCCTCTTCATTATAAGAGAAACTTAGTCAAATGCTTAGCAAGTAGAGCCATGAAGATATACTCTGTTGACACAATTGAAATGGAATTAGAGCAAATTGATAATAGGTTGATTGAAATGGGTTATCTACAGGGTTTCTTGAAGAAACACTTGCGTATAACAAACAAGAAGATAGTGACACTAACAGCTAATAAGAAACCTCTTTTCTTGAAGCTGCAATTTAATGGTGATGTATTGCGTGATAGACTGACTAGAGCAGTCAAGAGAACGTTTAATGCTGCCAACCTCTGTCTATCGTATTCGACCCGATCTATGGTGATTCCCCAACTGAAAGACAAGTTACCTGGTTACGCCACTTCTATGTGTACTTACAAATTCAGCTGCTCCTGTGGAGAAAGCTATATTGGGCGCACAACCAGGCAACTGAACCAAAGAGTTAGTGAACACCTCCCATCGTGGGTAGGAAAAGGTTACGTAAAGACAATACGCAGCTCAGTTCTTTCACACTTAATCGATAGTGGACAGAAATAAGTCATTTAAAGTTATTTATCGTATTCCCACTAATTTTCCCTATGGTGTTCGATCTCGTCTCTTACACATAGCAGAAGCTATAGGAATTCGAGCTAACAAGCCGAGTCTTTGTGTTCAGAAGAAATTTGTAATACCCTTATCTCTCCCTTGGCCTTAATAAATGAATTTATTTATTAATTTCTTTTCAAACCTTTTCTTCGTTTATTAATTCTTCTTCACCCCCTCCTACCATTTTATTTTTTCACGGTTCAATTATCTGAACACTTCTCATTACGTCATCTTATAATAAATTTTTATAAATGTTATCTCAATATCTATATTTTTCTAATCATTGACCTATTTCCGATTATGTAACATTGATTTGAGCCTTTATTATTCTTATAAAAATAAAAAAAAACTAGTACACCTGTCATCACACTATCTATTTGTACTTTTCACATATTGTGTAATCGTTTTATTCATCGTTATCATTGATTTATAAACTACCTTGATTGGTTTAATAATTTCGTATATGCATATAAATATTACTGTATATTAGAGTAAAGCCTGATGAGGATCTAATCGAAAACAATATTGTTCGCTTATATATGTTGTTCTAAAGTTAATGTATGATCAGGATGTTCGAAACTTACTTCCCCACTAGGTTATAGAGTGCTAATAAACTTCGTCTTATTGCATTATCCAAATTTACCAAACGGACCAGTTGTAACTTTTAAGTCCTTTGTAACTATAGCTTTCCAATAATATCTCCATACACACACCTATTGATTTGTCTGTTCGGTAACATTTAATTTACAGCGTGATGTCACTCGTCTTTTGGGTATATATTGTCCAGAAATCGACTCAGTCCAACCGCCAGAGAACACTGCTGTTAAGCAGCCGTCTGTTACTAGCCGTCGTAAAAACCAAAACGTAGAAACTCTTGGTAGACCCCATCTTTCTGGAGAAAACGAATTAACGACTATAGAAACCAAAGAGTCAAATTCAGCAGGAAATATAAATCCCGTTGAGGAGGATCAGATTAGATGTGAGGCTAACAAATGATCACATTTTATTCATAAGTCTTATTATTAAATTTAAATCGATTGTATTTTTGGAAACTCACTACTTAAAATTTATGATCTTTGATGACTAAATATTAATTGAAAAATCATTGAAAATTATAAGGGTATAGATGATTTCAGTGTGATATCTTGTTGTAACTCTTCGGAAGTATGTATACTCGACCTTCAAGTTTCGAAGCTAACGTCTTAAGCCACCAGGTCTATATGCAATAGATATCGAGTTTAGTGGAATTGTGCTTTAATTTGATTATCCTCTCTTGTTATTAGCTATATCTATACTCCTTGTTATTGCCGATGAAGCCCTACTTCATACTAGGTAGCCGATTAATCAGTAACTTATCAGCAAGCGAAACAACTATGTTCCGATCAAAATTACAGCACGTTACATTGGCATACCAAGGGACCGTCAGCTAGACTAAGGATAAAGCAATGTGTACATTGATACCAATCCTAGTAAAAGGATTAGAAGACGATAAAATCAAGTAGTGCACGAATTTAAAGGATGTTGAAATGAGAATTTATCTGAGCTAGTGCAGTTCAATCGAAGGTTTGATAATTGAAAGTGACAAGCATTAAGCACTGTTTTCTCCTGGTTATCACTGAGTTTATAGACAGATGGTTACTAGTGGTCAGCTTTTAACCGGGATATTTTGAAGGTTATTTCATCACGTACGGTCATCAACTGAAAACTCAAGGGCCACTAGACCATTGTTTTATCTGGATAGGAATTCATTTTTAATTCCTGTCAATTCTCGATCTGACACGATTGTTATCCATTTTCATCTTCCATAACTGTCTCCCTAAATTATCAATGGTTAATTAGGAAATATATTTTATTTGAATTGTTTCTTTGTGTTTTGCGTACACATTCAACTCCGTGATACAAGTAGACTATATATATATTTGTCTTACCGATGACATTTTCAACCCACTCGAATTGAAATCTCTTAATAGATACTGATTTGTTAGTAATTTTTCAAACTTAAAATCGGTGGTCATGTGGCGTGCAAGTTTTCTTATCATGCTAAATATTTATTTTTCTCTTAAAATGATTACGAACGTAATACATGAACTTATCCTCACTACCCACTCATAACATTCTCGTTAATTTTTATGCTGTGAAGTATATATGTATATAACGAGGTCAGAGTATTTCCGGTTGTTTCACGTAGCTCTGCGGAATTACATCTGTGTGGGAATTCGAGAGTGGTTCTGGGTGAGTATCTCTCTGGAATTCGAAAGTCCGGCGTAAATCTGCCTAACCCTCTCTGGTTGTTAACGATTATTAAACTGTTGCCAAGTTTTCAGTCACTTTCCTGATTTCGGAAATTCCCAGTAAGTTAGATTATGTGTGTTGATACCCATCCCTCTATTTTATCCAATCAGTAAGTTTTTGGTTCAATGTGCATATTGATCCCAGTTGTCACACATCACAACAGAATCATCCGTACACTAACTTACTTGTTTTTGTGTACTCTGTTCTGAGACTAAAACCACTTTTGTAAAACGAAGTATTATCTAAGACACCGGTCATTAATAGAAATCACTTGAAAGACTTATTTTGTTTTGAAAATCATATTTTAAATTTTGTTTTCTTCATCTATACTAATTGCTTAACTTTACTTCTTATTTTCAGCTTCCCCAATCCCTTTAAATTATCAGAAAAGCGACGCTAATGATGATCTATCTTTTTACAATCTTATCCAAATTGGTTCAGGGGCGATTTGGTCACGTAATACGGTACAATATACTGTAAATAATTTATGATATGGAATTTAAATGAATCTCTCACAATTTTTTCCTTATTTTTCTCAATAAACCAGACTTGGGGTAATATCAATCGTGCTCGATACATTCTGTGTCAGTCAGTCAGCTACAACGTAGGACCAGGCACATCGGTCGCCACACATGTCGCCATACCTCATTAGCACAACAAGATGAACACCGAATTCATAGTAGTTAATTCAGTGGTGGTAATATATAAATGAAATATTGCATACAAGGACATAGTACAGGAAGAAAGAATTAGGTCGTACAAAGAAAGGTATAAAGCGATTTTAATCTTACAGTTTAAGGGAAGACAATGTGTATACACCTACGTAGTTGCTATCAATTCTGAGCCATGTCACCCAGAGTCTTCAGTCATTGGTTACGCTGACCCCAACCAAGTAGGCTGCATACAAGTCGCTCGTATTTAAGTCAATGCTACTACGTCCCATCGCTATTTAAACTGTAGTATAGTGTTTCAGAAAGAATAGCTTCACCTAAAATATTCGCCATGATAAAGTATGCCGATTTCACCATGACCATTTATAGAGCATTTGGTGTTAAAGGAAGTGTAACCACCAAAATGCTTCGATAAATAACACGAATCAACTGAACATAAATACGTCAAAAATTCTGTTGTGTGATTAGAATGTTGAAAAGTCATAACCCGCGCTTGCGAGATTAAATCAACCTCAAGGTCAAGACTTCAAAAAGACTGGTAGGATACGGCTTAGTTACGACTCAACATTAAGTGAGATACATTCATCTGAAGATCGGATTCTAGATATCCCAGTGTCTCTACGCGTCAACATCTATCCCGTCGGTGGAAATTTGGTAACTCCAAATATAATTTCAGTGTTCCGCAGCACTTATCCTCTGTTCTAAAATCTCGTATACGATAGTGAACTCCATAAGGAAGCTCTTTTCAAAGAAAGATTTCCCTTTCTACCAGTGGCAAAACAACACTGTTTCGTTTTTGTGCAATAACATCGTCTTGTAACTGTGGAAGATCATTTGGTTTTTCTGAGTTCAAACCTAATTATCGGTAAACTGTCTTACGAACAAGCGTTAGTGGAAACAGTAGCTGCTAAATACAGACACCACCATAAATATGATTCCTAGGGTTTTTTATTTCGTCCGTATAAGTACAGAGTTTGGATGATTGTCAACGTTAGTCAATTTGGGGAATATCTGTTAATGTAGATGTCTCAATTCCTATCTATCTAATTGACTGAAAGGCAACGTATAACCTTTCAAACGTTTCTCGTTTATTTCATTTTTATTCATCTTAACATATGACGTCTGCTTATGTTCGTATTTATAATTATTACTGTTATTAACATCATTACTTGTCTCTCGACACATTAGATATTATTTTCGCCTCTTCTTGTCTTTCTAAGTATATTTAATTTTTGGTTGTCCTTTGAAATGAATTGTGACTTTCATAGCATCACTCCAAACTGTGATTGCACAAACACTTAATCTAATGTCATATCTTACTGCGATAGTAAGTCATTTTCTTATTTATTTATTTTTGTTACTAATTTGACGACACATACATAGTTGTTTATTCTTGTCCTGTGTTCGTAAACACACCTATTAAACTGTTTGCGTATTTCACGTCTCTTTTATTTCTGTTCCCTTATTTTCTTCCTTTCCTTCTTTAAACTCAATTCGATATTCTTCTCAATTACATAGAACCTGACTCATTATTCTCTTTTTCAAATATGGCAAGAATAATGCTAACATTATTGAAACTTGTGTATTATTGCATTTTTGAAGAAACCTGAAATTATTTCTTCACAACGCTTATGTACCCATAAGACGTTTGTGAATAATAATAATATTTCAATGTAATTTGTGTGATACTGAATTACTCACAAGCCGGAGATTTCAATGGAATGACTATTTACAGAGCACCATCTACAGAATTAACAATATGTTTGGTTTTCATTAAACGTATAGTGGGCTCATACTTGCAACTGATTATTGATAAGTTTTTTGAAATGTAAAATTCCCAACAGAAACTATCTCGTATAACCGGTAGCGTCTCAACCATACCACTTCTACAGGAACACCTCTATTTTGAAAAAACAAGCAGAAGGGCGCCTGTATATTCAAGGCTGATGAATCGGTCATCCTCCAGCCATATGACAATTCATTAACCTTATTTTTCATTGAATAAAGCAATAGTTAGCATCCTGTAAGTTACTATGAATGACAAACAGGGAACCACCATTGGTTGCTATCTCCTGCTCACAATCACCAATTGTCATAGAACGTATGACTGCTATCATGGGAAATTACGTGTTGACTAACTGCTTTTATTCAATTGTGTCAACATACCGTTTTCTGTATCTAGCATCTATACAGTGTGGTCTCGTTCACACAATCGTGTTCAGGCTTTTGAATAATCTCAAGTTAATCTGATTCTACTAGGAATTTAGCCTGCATTAAATACTCCGTTAATGGGATACTGTTTATTAGAGTCAGATATAGAGGAAATTAGCCTCTACAAGGTAATTGTTATCTCTAAGCGTAGACAAAACGCTACTCACTTCAACCTGTTGGTTTTCCTTATCGGAAATAGATTGATCCTCCTGCTAATTAAATGTTTTACCACTGTGACTTTCGTACAAAACGCATGAGCCCAACGATAATTTATGTATCAGAATGTATTGATTACCTGAATACGTTTATTTTGAACTTATTATTATGCCTTCGTTCAACCTAACATTCGAAAGACGCCAGTTTCTAGTTACTTAACTCTATTTCCTTCTTTAGCTTGGTGCTCTTTGAAGTGCTGTTTACATTTTCAAACCATTCCGTTTATTAACTCCGCCTGTAGCTCTCCTAGAGTTACTGCCGGTCCCAAGCCCGGGTAAAGGAGGAGGGTTGGGCATGGGGTTAGCGTCCCCATCCCGTAGAAAACTAACTCGCTAAAAAACGCTAACCAGAAAAAATAACTCAAACTATTTAAACTCTGCCCTGGGAGTTAGAAGGTCTTTATTTAGAAGAATTATGACGCCTCATGGTGAAAGCCGAGTTCCTTCGGAAGCCACGAGGCCGATGCCCCTTCTAACAACCAGAGCAACAATTTTTATAGGTACATGGAACGTCCGGACAATGTGGGAGAGCGGGAAGACCAGTCAAATAGCAACAGAAATGAGAAGATACAACTTGGCAGTACTCGGAATCAGCGAAACCCATTGGACCCAAGCTGGACAACAAAGCCTAAATACGGGAGAGATGCTGCTATACTCCAGTCACGAAGAGGAAAATGCTCCACACACTCAGGTAGTTGCTCTAATGCTGTCCAAAGTAGCATGAAACGCACTTATAGGATGAGAATCTCACGGATCCAGAATCATCACAGCATCATTCACAACAAAGAAGGAGGGCATTACAATGAACATTATCCGATGCACACACCAATGATAGCAACGACGACATTAAAGTTCAATTCTATGAGAGAAGTGCCGAAGAAACGATCTCACCATTCTGATGAGAGATCTAAACGTCAAAGTCAGAATAGACAACACCGGATATGATGATATCATGGGACTGCATTGACTGGGAGAGAGGAACGAGAACGGGGGAAGATTTGAAAATCTGTGTGCATTCAACAAATTGGTCAAAGGCGGCACAATATTTCCACACAAACGTATACATAAAGCTACCTGGATCTCACCGGACCACACCATAGAGAACCAGATATATCATATTTGCATCATTAAAAAGTTCCGAAGGACAATGGTAGATGTGAGAACCAGGAGAGGATCGGATATAGCTTCAGATCACCACCTGGTTGTGGCCAATTTAAAACTGAAGCTAAAGAAGAACTGAACAACTGGACAAACAGCGCTGCAAAGGTTCAATACAGCCTTGCTTCGAAATACTGACAAACTCAATGAATATAAGGTGGCGCTCAACAACAGGTTCCAAGCCCTACGGGATCTACTGAAGGAAGAAAAAACTACTTTGGTGGATAACTGGAAAGGTATCAAAGAAGCATTAACTTCAACGTGTCAAGAGGTTCTGGGCCCCAAGAAGCATCATCACAAGGGATGGATCTCTATAGAAACACTGGATAGGATCAAAGGAAGAAGGAACAAGTAGGCAGCAATTAACAATAGTCGAACAAGAGCAGAGAAATCACAGGCTGAATACATAGAAGCAAACAAGCAAGTGAAGAAGAGCATTAGAGCCGGCAATCGGAAATACGTGGAAGAACCAAAAACGACGGCGGAGAAAGCTGCAAGAGAAGGAAATATGAAACAGCTTTTTGATACAACAAAGAAACTAGCAGGTAAATATAGTAAACCAGAGAGACCAGTCAAAGACAATGAAGGAAGACCGATCACTGAGATTCAGCAACAGCGGAACAGATGGGCAGAGTACTTCGAGGAACTCCTGAATAGGCCGGCTCCAATGAATTCACCCGACATCAAAACAGCACACAAAGATCTTCCTATAGATGTCAATCCACCAACGACGGAAGAAATCAGAATGGCCATCTGAAAAATCAAGATCGGGAAAGCAGCAGGACCCGACAATATACCAGCGGAAGCACTGAAGTCAGACATCGAAATAACTACGAACATGCCTCATCTTCTATTCAAGAAGATTTGGGGGGAAGAACAAGTGCCGACGCACTGGAAAGAAGGACACCTCATCAAATTTTTATATTTAACCTTCTTCAGTGAATGAAATATACGTCAATATTAGTTAATTGCAGTTGGTATTCTTTCAAAAAGCTGGTTTTTTCTCATCGACTGTGGAAAAAGTAGAAGGGAGTTACTAACTTATCGGGCGATTCGTTGTGGTTTTCGACCTGTGTAAACACCTATGGTGTCATGTGATCTGGTCATCATCTATTACTTACGGCTGAGTCAAATTGGTTTTGTCGTAATTGTTAAAGGGATTATATATAATATTTTAACTGCGTACAATTGGGCAACTAACTTAATCTTAAGGTCAGCACTGATGTGAATATGTCG